TAGATGTAATGTAGATTTAAACTTTGTAAGGTTCACATGTTATATTGTTATTTTACACAAACGTCGCCATTTTTTTTCGGACATTTAGAATTAAACATCCCAAACGATCGATATCATACGTAAGTGTCAATTGTGGCGTCCTAAACTGCAGTTCAGGTGCAGAAAAATAATGTATACATTCATTCTAAACGTTGTTTTGTTACGCTTTTGTAAAATTGTATAAAGTATGTAAAAATCGAAGTATTTTTTCCACTTCATTATGACAAATTGCCAAATTTTAGTGTTACCAGCTCGATAAGTGTAAATCCTACTATTTACTCGTAGCGTTCGAGTGTCACATTTTGCCACTGCTTCTGTGTACACCAGTCCAGTATTTAGTATTGTAGCAGCGTGTATATAGCCCGTGTATGTACTATATATTATATACATATATAGTGAGTATGATAAAGTATTTTTGCATGACTTATTTATTGTACAAGTCCGCGTGTGTAGTGAAGAGTTGGGTTTACTTTCTAACGTTGTTTGAAGAATATCTTTACGCCCGCATAAGTGTGCGTGTTTAGTATTAGCTGACATTTTTGCACAACATCCTTTAGTTAAAAAGCATACAGCGCCTCAGCTTGATTTCTAAATATCCTGAAGCCGTCTCATCTCATAGCTAAAATAAATACCTTAAGGTGGTTTGACCATCTGTTCTGTCATAAATTAACGTTGACTAATATTTTGGCGTAGTCAAGCTTGGCTTTTGGGGAAAGTATCCTCGAGATGAAATGCGTTGACTAATAATTTCTATCTAAGAAGCAATGTGCGTTCATTGGTATTCGATTTTAGCTGTTTTATGATGTTTGAGTGTACGCTGACCACCAAGCTCTTACGGCCTTTGCTCTTTCTTATATGGCCTTATAGAATTGTGTGCAATATTTTATCGTGTGAAATAAACGTTGTTAGTAAACCACGCTCAATTGAAATTAAATATGAATGTAAATTTAACGTGTATAAGTAAACACGCGTCAGCGCCACAAGATGGCGCCTCTTGCAATAACTTTTCTATACAACAAAAATATGTAACGTATGTGTAGTGTCGGGACTCGGTAGTGTGCGAGGAGTTATCGGCGTCAGCGCATGACGAGAGCACTGCGCTTTAGCCTGTATTGTACGAAATCAACATTACATTTCGTCAATGTTCTTAAAATTATAGTTTAACCTTTCCTAAAAAACTGTTTCAAATAGTTTAAACGGTACTTGAAATAATTTTTAATTGCCAGTAAAAAAGTTTGTTAATTGGCTGATCAATTTCAGCTAACTCCAAGCACCTCTTTTTAACCTGATGCTATTCTCACTACTGAGTGAAATGCACATTTTTTAACATTTTACTGATATATAATATTTTAGTAGCGGTGTTAAGTAGACGAGGGGAAGATACCAACTTTACTCAATCTTTTTATCACTACTCAGAGTATTCTGACAGTTTCAAATATAATTACAGCTTATTATAAAAAGCTTGATAGCGTGTCAAAATTTTATAAAATATAAGATGAACAAGATTTTATATAATTTTTACAAAAAGATTTGCCTAAAATTAAAAAAGCTATCAAATAAATTATATTAAAAATTAATCAACGTAGCCGGAGCGTAGACCGATTCCCACTTTGAACTAAAACTTATTTTTCTAACTACCCGTTCGAAACGTTTATTAAAAAAATACTATTATTCCTTGAAATTGTAGCTTTTAAATTTATATATAACTATTTTATTCCCAAACTATTAAATACACACTACATACATAGAGGTTTTGTATCCTGGTAATTTTATTTTAACATTTTGCGTGTATTTGATGTAATACTGTACTGTCCCTTATTACTATTTTTTATTTCATAAGCTATATTGCGCGTTGTGCATGCAAAGAGGTACCTTCTGCTTGCATGTAATCTGTGAACGTAAATCTTACGCATTGTTGCCATTATAAAGAGGTTAAGTTGACATCGAAATAAAGTGCTTGAAATTTTAAAATATCGTTTTATAGGTTAAGTTGGTGTCCAACTGTTCGCTACTAAGTTGTCGCTGTCGCTGCGAGTGATTGCGTGTGTAAGCAGTGGTGTTACTATAAACACACTTTGCAGCCACATTATAATACAGTCTGTTTTAGTTGTTTTATAGTGCGACTCTCAGATTCACAAAAGATCTACCTGATCTGTGTTTTTTAATGAACGTGGATTTTTTCAATATCTAGTTAAAAATAATGTTAATCTTCAGACAATAATAAAAGAATATAAAGTTATTTTTAACAATTTCAATCATAGGCCAACCATTGTTAAACGTGTCTCACGACTACTGTAAAACGCAACGTAACTATTTGTCACTCCGGTCGAGTTGTCAAATATGTGCGGTAAAATAGCTCCCGCAAAAAAAAAAAACTGTACCATAAACTACAGAATAAAACACATTATCATAGTTTATATATAATTAGCACTTTATTCACGACGTCAGCCATAACCTAAAATTCAAGTTACTTTGTGTTTAATTTCTTTTTAAGCACTAGAATACTCAATATTTATACTACCTCCGCGCAAGCGTCTAAACACCAATTAAAGTAATTATCTTACTTTAGCTGTTATTGTATTAGGATTTATAAAGACAGAACGAAATTGGTCTTCGCAATTATCAATAAAACGGCATTTAAAATTTTAGACGCTTAAATTCTAACCTTTTTACGTATTACCGCGGCTAACTGATTGTGCAACAGGACAACAGGTTATATTTGAGACAATGCATCGATATCAAATGACTATATAAAAATTAAATTGCATTAAATATTTAAGTCAGTATTTTGACTTCTTAGTGCCTGTCACAGACTCTGTGTGTGTTCTGTGAGATGATGACATCATTGATTAAAATCTTAAAAAAAAAAATTGATAGTCCAATAACAAAACTATAGTCGTAAGACCAGTACTAAACCTAGGTTTTAATTAAAGGTTTTTATATTATATTTACGACATAATGAAGTAAATTTATTAAGAAATCAATTTTAATTGCGGTCTTTATCAAAACTTTCTTAACGATTAGAACATTAAGACAATATTTGTTTTTAAATTGACATATTGTTTTCTAGTAAATCTGGAATTTGTAATAGTGAATGCATATGTGAAAGAGAAAGAAGAGACAAATCCAAAATACTTAATAGGTTTCAATTATTGGTTTTGTTATTAAGGTTGGTAAATCCGTTGCATACTGATTTACATATCAATTAATATTTAAATTACTCAATGCTTTTGATATTTTCAGCAGTACTGTATCAGGGTGGACGATAGTTTATTTAAATTAGATCATTTTTACTAGTGGTAAAGTTCTGCAATAAAAAATCCAAGTTCGAAGTTTTTTTAACATTTCTTTTTTAAAACTTTAATCAATGATGTTTACTAAATTCATTTGTATTGTGGCGTACAAAGTAAAATTATAAATAAGAAATTCAATGTTTTTACAATATTTAAATAATTTAGTCGTTATTTAAAAAATGCAATAAATTACTAATAAATAGAAGCTCCGAATTTAAACTGTGCGTTATTTTTAAGACAGTGCTACAAAATTGTATAGATGTTCCCAAAATAGGGTTGGCAGCTCTATTTCAGTGTTGCTAGAGTTACGAATATTACCTATTTGGTAAGATTTTATGTGTGTATTGTAATTGCTTGCTTGGGTCTGGCCAGAAGCCGCTGAGATTGTTGGTCCATTCTTAAGATGAGAGGTTTTTAAGAAATAAAAAGTTTGCACACTGTAATGTCGTGTAGGCTGCGAACCTCGGCGTGGTACCACACTACTGCAAAATAAAGTAATTTTGAATAGCGAGTGATTGTTTTATTTATCTGTGAGTTTTTACCTTACACTTATTTCACGCCTAAATGACTCAACTCAAGATCAAGGAAAATCATGATGGATCATCATCCCCTTTTCAGAAATACAGAAACTACACAAAAACTGGTCATTCATAAAAAATATTTTTCTGAGTGAAATCTTCTGTGAGGGGTGTTAATTATATTTATTAAAAAAGTATATAAAATAGTGGATAGAAATAGTAACTAGACGTATCTACACGAAGAAACCCTTCAATCATCATCATCAACAGCCTATAACAGTCTACTGCTGGACATAGGCCTCTCCTTAGAAAGGAGGTTTTTGGCCCACCACGCTGGCTAAACGGGTTGATATAGGGTTTGTTTCAAGTTTTCCTTCTCTTTGCATGTTGTCTTGCGTAGTTTTCTCCCTTTGTCGACTTTTACGACACCCTTTGGATGAATTGGGAACCCTTTGACAACATGCAAAGAGAAGGAAAACTTGAAACAAACCCTATATCAACCCGTTTAGCCAGCGTGGTGGGCCAAAAACCTCCTTTCTAAGGAGAGGCCTATGTCCAGCAGTAGACTGTTATAGGCTGTTGATGATGATGATTGAAGGGTTTCTTCGTGTAGATACGTCTAGTTACTATTTCTATCCACTATTTTATATACTTTTACAATAGTCTCGGATCAAAAGGCGGCTTTTTTTAAGTTAAGCGTGACGAGTGCTGTGATGTGCGACCGTCGTGTAGTCATTTATGTAGGTTTATACCTACATACCTGACTACCTGACATACCTGACTACCTGACTACTGACATTTGTTACAAATATATGGCTTTTCTTCATATAAAACCCTATATTTTTAACAAATGTCACGGAAGCCCCTTCCGAGAGCTAGTTGACGCGTTAAAGGAAAAACCTTTTTGATAAGCATTTACTTAAATAAACGAAATGTTAAGTAAATTAGAAAAACAACGATCATGATTTGAATACATTTAATTCTTTAGAAATTGTTCGAAACGTGAACCGAACTTTTGTATAAAATTTATAAACTAAGAATCTACGCCCAACAGTAGTTGAAAATAATCAAAAGAAAATTATTAATTAAAATAGGAATAACATAAAATGAACTTTGACACTTGATCACGTTTAAAACACTCTAGAATCATTCATGGTGGGTACACCAGGCCCATTATCTTGATTTTGAAAATAAAATATCCACTTACAAATCTAAATCTAGTCGAAACCACAACTTTAGTTAAATTCACAAATATATATTCAATCACAAACAATGATGCCCCACACAAGAACATAATTTTAAAATTTTAGGTGTACCTACAAAAAAATTATCGCGCAAATCGCTCCAAGAAATGTCCATCGTTTGCACTGACCTTTCTTCAAAGCGTCTTTTTCTAGAACTAGACATCTGGCTTGAAAGAGTATCTTTTGCGGTAGCTGATTCCCTAAGTTCTGGGGTAGTATTGAATAATAACGCTAAAACATCGTCAATATCCTCTGAATGTTTCTGCTGAACTGCGCTCATATGTTCATCATCTTCTATGACTGGAGTCACGTCAGAAACATTCGAGGCCATAATATTTTGATCAGAGCTATCGTGTACGTTACTTGAAAATCGATTGGCACCAGTTGGAGTGGATTCTTTTGATTCATCAGGCCGAGGTGTTCTCATGATTTCAATTTCTTTCATAATTGCGTCACTTTCGTCTGAGGAAGGAGTTTTGTCTGAACCTAGGAGAAATCAATTTATATTTTCTGAATCAAGGAAAATAAATTTGAGTAATAAATAATAATAATAATTTCACACATCTCACACGCGGCCGTCTGAGCCCAAACTAGGCAGATCCTGTGCTATGGTAACCAGACTGCTGATAAACATACTTATATATTTTTAAATACATACATAACATAGATAAATTACACCCAGACACAGAACAAATGACCGTGCTCATCACACAATATCTGTCCTGGGTGGGAATCGAACCCACGACCTCCGGCTTAGCAGTTAGGGCCACTAACCACTGGACCAACAGGCCCGTAAATGTTATTGAACAAACCTTCATTATTTTCCAGAATAGTCAAGTTCCTCTCAACGGAAAGAGAATGCTCTTCTATTGTCTTTCTGAAGCGTAGCACGAAGGCAGCATCTTCTTTTCTTCTGTTAGCTACATCACAATGTGAATCCTCGATGTCAACCTTAGCCTCGGTAGCAGGCTGTGTGCATATATGTTCTATAACAATTAAACAAGATAAAAACAAAAATTTACAAAAATGTAATACGCCCCAAGTTGGGCGCCAATAAAGTAAAAAAATAAGAATTCTTTAATAGTAATAATTTTACACTACTTCTTTGAAATAGCAATTAAAATAAGTATATTTGTAAACAGTACAGTTGACAGATAATTCTTAAATGTCAAAAATGTTTCTGTGTGTCGTCTAATTGTCCCTTACGAAGCCTTGAAAAGATGTCTGCCAACAGAAGTTTTGGAATAGTCGTTTTTGATATTAATAATAATAAATAGTGGTTACTCTGCTGATTTAACACTCTTTTCATTTCTGGTACCACATAAACCTTAACACGCCCAATACACGACCATCTGATCTCCCAATAGCTTGTATTATGTTAATCAGACTGTTGATAAACATACTTATATATTGCTAAATAAATCAATAAATGTCATCCAATCCAATCCAAATATAGGCTGTAATAATATATTGATTACATGTCATGTAATCAATAGATTACACCGTATATGAACCTTCAAACAAACCTTGATTATCTTCAAACACTGTTTTAGAACATTTTCTCGGTTTCATAAACCTTCTAGTAGATGTTAAAATAGGACTGCTAACGGATTCTTCTTTACCAACGTCACGTGCTACTTCTAACTGCTGTCCAAAAACAAGAGTATCTGTTATAATCTCCAACTTTGACTTGTCCATTTGACTTGGCATAAGCTCTTCGTGAGACGTTTCATGGACAGGAATACTATTCAACTCAAATGGTTGTTCTTCACCTTGAAAGGACTGTGTCCTATTTGGTGACTGTTTGTACAGGAGAATAGGGGTGGTTTCGGATGTGGAGATCTTTGAATTTGAAGAAGTGATACTCGGCAAGCTGTCGGCAGGCAAACTTTGTGTGACTTCATATGAAAACTTTTTAACCGATGCTGATAAAACTTCGATTCGCGGCTCTTCATATATTGGACTTGGTCTGACTTGTGGGAGTGGGGTGCCGTCTATATGGATATCTGCTTTAAATGTCATCTGGCTATACGCTGGCTCTGTAACAAAAAATAAGATAAAAGTAGCTGTTTATAGATTAAAAAATACTGATACTTTTATTTTTTACTACTATGAAAGTTATGATTAATAGTGTTGGCAACATTTGGTTTTACTACAAGTACTAGCGGCAACCAAACATTTTAGTGGCAAATTTTGAATTTACACTTCAGAATATATAGATTTTAAATGTAGGATAAAATATTTATAATAAATGATTTTCCAAGTGCATTGTATGATGTTAAAGGTTATTCATAGATTTGACTTGACTATTAACAGCCATTTGCTAACTAACAGATGTAGAGCAGTGATTGGACATAAAATGTGGACTATGTATACCTATATGTATGTGTATACACCTAGATGAGACTTGCACTTTATTGATTTTAGGGTGGAACTGACGTGTATTATGACGTTATTCATCTGTTGATTGGTAAAGGGGGTTGTGAAGTGGGAGGTGGGGTGTTTTAATATTGAAATTTTTAGTAGACAAAGGAACTCAAGCTATTTGATTCAAATAGATAATTGTTTATGCAAAAACAATACTCTACCTGTCTGGGAAATTTTATTGTCATTTGCCTAAAAGTTTCTCAAAATCTATCACCAATTCTTTACTATGTTATTATCTTTGTAATTAATCTGTCTGAACTTAATTGAATTCAATAAATGCATCTTTATACGCCATATTTTTTGTGAGAAATTAAACGAACATTAATATTAGATCTTTGTGTGTCTGTTTAAATAAAATAGTAATGAATGATATAATAATTCTCCTGCTCCTAATAATATTTTATTTTTGTAAGGTATAGGGTTTAAACTAGCAGACGGGGCAGCTGATGGTAAGTGAACATCGCCACCCATGAACAACTCAAGAGTCACAAGTGTGTTTGGGACTCCGGTACCTAAAGAAAATTTTCGTTTTTATTCACCAAGCGAGTGTGATGAAAACCCAGGAAGGATTTGCTTAACATAAATTTTCTGTTAGGCCTTAGGATAGATACGAGACGTGCTTTCATGGGCCCCGTCGTGGTCCACCCCCTGGCGCCTCAATCGTGGTCAACTCGGTCCTCGTACCGGTTCGGGCCCAGATGAAATATCTGGGCCTGATCCTCGACGGGAGATGGCTCTTCGACGAGCACTTCCGACAGCTTGCTCCAAAGCTGGTCGGCGCTGCGTCTGCCCTAGGGCGACTTTTGCCCAATATGGGTGGACCCAGCGTCGCGACAAGACGGCTGTACACGGGGGTTGTCCGGTCAATGGCGCTGTACGGTGCACCGGTGTGGGCGGCGGCTCTGACCGCCCAGAATAGGGTACGCCTCTGGCGCCCTCAGAGGGTAATGGCGGTCAGAGCCATACGCGGTTACCGCACCGTTTCTACGGAGGTGGCATGCGCGTTGGCCGGAACTCCCCCGTGGGATTTGGAGGCGGAAGTGCTCGCCGAAGTTTATCGGCGAGTGGCTGACTCCCGGGCGGAGAGCGGATTTCGCCCTCCGCCCGAGGATGTGCGCGAGTGGCGCGAAGCCGCTCGCCGAGACACGATGGCTCGTTGGTCGTTCCGGCTGGAGACTCCACGCGCTGGCTTCGCCGCCGTGGAGGCTCTCCAGCCGGTCATCGCCGAGTGGGCAGGGCGGCAGCACGGGACCCTTTCCTTCCGACTGACGCAGGTGCTTTCCGGGCACGGTTGCTTCGGAAAGTACCTGCACACGGTCGCTAGGAGGGAACTGAGTCCCGCCTGCCACCACTGCGACTGCAGTGAGGACTCGGCCCAGCACACGCTGGCGGTCTGCCCCGCATGGGCGGCGCAGCGCCGGGCCCTCACTGCAGTCATCGGAGTGGATCTCTCGCTACCGGCCGTAGTACGCTCCATGGCCGGTAGCGACAGTTGTTTTACCGCGGTCGCAACCTTCTGCGAGGTAGTAATCTCGCGGAAGGAGGCGGCGGAGAGGGCCCGGGAGGACGACCTCCACTCGGACCCGATCCGCCGCCGGCGAACCGGGCGGCGGAGGCCCGCCTACCACAGCCTCATGCCGCCCTGAGTGTGGCCGCGGGTGGACGGGGTGGGTTTCCCCTCCACCCGCATTAGTTGGCCAGCCGCGAGCCCAGTCGCCTAAAGAGAGGAACATCTACATTGAGACGGAGCCCGCACCAGGAGCGGGCTGGCGCTAGGAGGGGTCCGGATGTCTTAACAACAGCTGTTCCCGGATCCCTCCTGTTACAGGCGCAGAGTGGCACACCGTGTGGTTTTAGTCGGTCCGAGTCCGACACACCACCCCGCCGCAAACCCCGGAGGGGTGACGGTCCGAGGGGATTTCCACACGTTAAAAAAAAAAAAAAAAAAAAAAAAAAAAGATACGAGACGTGCTGGCCCATTTGTGAGGAAAGATGTCTGTTCACTAATAAATAAGAACAGACAAGTTTTCTAAAATGCATTCGTTTATGCTTTTTTGACGGACCTGTTGGTTTGGTGGTTAGTGATCTTGGCTGCTAAGCCAGAGGTCATGGGTTCGATTCCCATCCAAGACAAATAATGGTGCGATGAGCATGATCATTTGTTCTTTGGCAGAGTGTAATTAAGCTTTATTGATATGTTCAAAACCTATGCACTCATTTTTTAAATGATCTAATAATTTGTTCTCTTAAGTAGTTCTTTAAAGCTACTTTCAAATGTCTAAAATTGTAAAAAATCTGTAAACTAGTGTAATCTTTTTAAGTTATATTAAAAAAAGTAGAAAAAAGCCTTCTAATATGCATAGATAAGGAAGCAGCAGTGGATTTACTTCTTCTCGTAAGTACATAAATATCTAGAGGTTAGGTTTCGCTTTAAGCTCAAAGTTATTTTAACTTAGGTACTGATTCATCCACGCACAGCCTAATTCGTTGGAGCTACAAACTTGAATTTTTTGCAGCTAATGCCATTGCAAGCATTTATATTGCAAGCACCCACTAAGAACGGACTTTTGTAAATTTTACCCCGAAGAGGGTAAAATAAAAGATGAAAGGGAAAACACGAATTACGCGAGCGAAGCTGTGGGAAATAGCTAGTAAGATATAAATAATAATTCGCAAATTTATTTGAGCATAATATTGTGTGTTTATATAATTATTATTTCATAAAAAGATTTATTTATAAAAGCGGGTACATGTAAGCGACAAAGGCGGTATACAATTAACACCTATTAACTAGAATGTTTTATTATTACACCAAAATAAATTTAAATAGATAGAGTTTAAATAGACCCAATCAATATACACCATAAATCATTTCCACCACAGTTTAAATAATTAATTTTACAGTTGTTAACAATTCTAATATCTATTTCTTTGAAATCATAATTTGGCAGTCATCTTAAATATGCCACTATAAATAATAATTTATCACTAAGTACATCCAATTACGCGGGAGTGGTTCGATGCAAGCGAACACAGAAAACAACAACGACAGGTGCGTTTTATTGATTGTTCACCTCAGCATACACTATTTATAGAATGATATGAATACAAAATTTTTTTACTGCGCTGTGTATTCTGGACTGCGTCGCGCGCCGTTCTGAATACACAACCTACTTTAAACTTCCTGGCTTTAGACAGATGCAAGGTACATTCCATGTAAAATTTACAATTCGTAGACATGTTTGAACAAGTCTTCAATAATTTTTACTGTCATTGGACGCCTCCCACCTTCTTTTGCCTCTTGAAAAACAAGCATGGTTTCCCTTATCCGGTCCAGCAGGTCTTTCAGAGGAGTAGTTGAAGGGTCTTTACCGTTTAACCTCTGTTCTATCCAGTCCACGATATTCACCATAGCTAGTTGGTTTAACTCCAGCTCAGTTTGCGGTTCTAGGTGGAGATCTTTCATTTCTGTCGCCGATGCGGTTTGTGCTAAAGTGCTTCTTAGAATTTTTAAGTTCTCTCTTAAATATTTTTTGTTTGGTATTCTTGGATTGTCGTTCTCATCTTCTGAGGAAGAATCGCAACATGACTCTGAACTTGAGGAACTTTCGGACTCAGAAGACTCACAGTCTTCTGTTTCCATTCTTTCTGAATGTACATGTGTGTGAGAATGTGGACATTTTGCCTTTGTTTCATTAATGTCGACATTAATCTCATCTGAATTCATTTTTAATTTTCAAAATAATTTTCTTACCAGCGGGATCTGTTCCTGAGAGGGCAGCTGCGTTTTTACAGGTTTAAAGTTGATCAGGTAGCAAAATGATAACACGCGTCTTCACTGTATAGTCTTTGTTGATGTAATAAAAGCTTTTTGTTTTTATGTGACACGGAGGGTTACCAACTTTTAGATTTAAAAATCTACCATTTATTTTACTAACACAATTATTCTACCATTTCTCCACGGTGGTGGTACTCAATGTAACGCTTAAAGATGTCTAACCTTTTACGTAAATAAAAAAGGCACAAATTAGAATATACATATATATACATTAAAAACAGACAATTATGAAAAATTACGAAACAAGACGAGTTGAAAGGACAGTACTGATTTTTAATATGTCTGTTTTTCAATTCAAGCATGCGTGCTTTGTAAAACGAATACATGACTGGAAACGAATAAATGTTTCGTAAGTTTTAAACTTATAACTCAGAACAGTCAGAATTTGTTCTGAGATAATCAAAAACCTACTAAACTATTCACAATGCTATCTATCATATACCTTTACCTATACCTTTTGTTTTACTAAGATACTCGGTAATAAGTAACGAAAAAATTGCGAAAGAACGGTTTTGAAGACGTTAAAAAATACTGTATGTATGTTTTTTTTTATGTTAGATTGGGCAGACGAGCAGGCGGGTCACCTGATGGAAAGTGACCATCGCCGCCTATGAAAATCATCGTCGTATTGGTTCGGCATTACCGCAGACGATAACCTGTTCTACAGATTGGCTGTGCGGGGCAAAAAGGTTATGGATAAAATCTTACCTTCGTTAGATGCACAAGACTCCTGCTCAATATCTTCCATATCGTTATCCGAATCTTCATCACAGCTTGAGTCCACACTCAAATTCTCATTACTTTTATCTTCAACTGCACATCTTTTATCTACGTTCGTTATTTCTTTTAAAATATTATCCTCCCTTGTAGATTCAAGATTAACATTAAAAGAAGGTTCTTCGTTCAAACAACTATTGTCCAGACCAGCTCTTTCAATATCACTTTCGAAGAACTCCTCGTCACTGATGAATTTGCCTTCAAAGAACATCCGTCTATAAATTTTTCTCATTTTTAATAACAGTTTTGCGTAAAATTCTTCCTGTTCATCATGCCTATTTGGCTCTACTTCGATGATCAGTGGTGGCAGTGGGCTATATGGTCTAGGGTCTGGTGTTGTTTTACCAGTATCAGCTATTCTCTGGTCTGAACGGCGTGATTCTGAAGGAGTTGATGATTCAGATTCAGATGTTAGTTGATATTCATAGGAAGTTGGGTAAGATTCCACGGTATGGTTGGCATCTGACGATCGAGATCGAGAGGATTCTGCGGAGATTTGAGTTTGTGATGATTGGTTGGATTCTTCAAGAACTGGTGACAGAACTGCAGGAATAAATACAATGTTAGGACTGTGATGTACAACTGATAATGGGTAATGTTACTGTGATAGTTCCATAAAGAGTTAAAAGCAAAGAGATCTTGAGCCATCTTTGATGGTTTTTCTTGACGACAGAAGAAGAACGATAGACAAAAGAAGATCATGGCGATTATTCATCTTTAATTGACCTGTTAGGCAGTTATTTAATGTTAATATTGTGAATGAGAAGTCCTGGGTTATCTCTTTCCCTCATTATATTCGTTTTCGAAACATTTCATGAATACAAAGTTCACTGTAGAGGCCTGTAGAATTCTTTAATAAACTATTAATCATTTATCATGGGTCAAGCAGAACCGTCTGCTTAATTAGAGATATAAGATTTAAGGATCAGCACCAGATCATTGTGGCAACACCAGCTGACTGTAAATTAAAATTATTATGTTGTATGTAATGTAGATTACATAATTAAAATTCTTCACAAAAACTCTGTTTTCACAAAGTGAAGTTTTAAATGTTAATGGGAATAAAGTTTGTGATTCGAGTCGTACCTTATAACATGCTCCCAATTTAAATTCTCATTATTAATTTACGCACTGACTGACAATCAATACAGTAAAGTTAGCTGTACATATCATTTGAACTAACGATAACCTAAGCTGTTGTTTCTCATTTGAATAATAGCTGGTTGTGTTCTGAGATCAAAGTAAAAACTAAAAAAAAATACTTATGAGTTTAAACTTACCTCGATAAGGTATATCGTGGAATAAACTTCTAATTAAATATGTTTTCCTTCTTTGCCATTCCTCGTTATAATACCGCGACATTTTTGAAATGCTAAACGAATTTTTTTTAGTTAGACGGGGGTAGTAGGCCAAATTAACTTTTCATTGTACACAAATTATCATAGAGACAAATATCCAGGTAACAGTTTTCTCGGCCTGTTATGCCATACAAGACTGATATAATTTCATTCCAAAAAAAAAAATACCTCCGCAATGCGAACAATGGGAGTTGCGTAATAAATATCAAGCAATCTACACAAGTTATGTGTGTGATAATTCATAAATTATTTTATAACAGATCTTAAACACAAAATTAAACGACTTAATATTAAATATTTTCTTATTCCGCGTTTCTAAACTTTTTCTAAGCATATCTTCAAACAGCTGATTACACGAATGGAATAATACGAATGTGTCTTTATCGGTCCAATGCAGTCAGCTGTCAAAACAACTGTTTCAAGTCAGCTGTCATTAAAAATCAATAACAATTGAACTTTTTAGCTTGCAAATCTAAGCTGAATAATAATTTCTATTCGCATTATCAACTAGAAAAACCTCAAGTAAACACGTTTATGTATTTTAATTGAGGTTTTAGTGAATAACAATCTCCGCATTGCGGTAAAAGGGGCGCGGGCCTTTCGTAACGCTTGAGCGGCTCTAAAGTCCGGAAATGTGTGTTCCTATTGTATATTTCTTATTAAATCCATTATAATGGACCTCTCTCCTGACGAGGAGAACTTTCAAGGGCGTTTGCTCCACCAGGTAAGTGAATTTCACAGTTAAAAGTTTAGTAATTAATATTTTCTTATTAGATTAATATGTGCTTAATAACAGCAGTAACTAGTGTGTTAGGTATGTGGGAGGCGATGCAAGGTCTACAGCTATGTGTTACAGTTGCTATAATTTAGAACAGGAAGGAATGTAATATTCGATTAAATGCCTAAACTAAAGCCATAAGTAAATATGACATTATAAAAGGCATAGATTAAGCTTTAGCACATTGACTTTCATTAAAAAATATATAGCCAGTTTTTAAATTGGAGCAAACTTAAGAACTGCATGTTTTGTCTTTATAGATGAGGAAGAACAGAAGGACTATATAGAGAATATCTCTGTAACTTAACTAACTGGTAGAGAGTGCCCTGACCTCCTTTGAACAAAATGAGTGTCAAGTAAAAACGATTAGTAGAAGAGTAATCTTTTTTAGTTGTCTGTGGACTTCTTTTAAAATTAGAATCATAAATGAGCACAACATAAAAAAAATTCTATAGAGAGTATTAATAGCCTGTTCTGAAGTTTTCCATGATGTCAGTCTGCTGTTTTGAAGAAGCTCTTTGGTAGAAACTTTTAAAGTTAATTTTTCCCAAATTATTTACATTTGTCTGTATCATCATCAGCCTGTCACAGTCCACTGCTGGACATAGGCCTCTCCCCTTGCATGCTACTTAGATTGATTTTGGGCTTATTTTGTTTGTATAGTTTATTATAATAAATGTAAAATTAATTTTTCTATTAAACAGACAGACATATACCATTATATTAGAATTTTATGAAACAGTTTGACTACACGGATGGCTTAGTGGTTTAAGTGCGTTGAGTGTTGTGGGTTCGAGCCCCATACTATACGGGACGACACTTTGTGTGATCGAAAAATTGATTTTCTGAGTCTGGGTGTTTTTTGTGTAAGTTTGTAAAGTATTGGAGTAACAAAAAAGGAATTGCTTAACATTGCGAAAGTGAAAACTTGAATATTTGAATTTTTTTGGTTATAACAGAATTTCCTTTTGTATTATTCTATTTGAGAAGTTTCTACATGAATATATAACTATGTTATACGTATATACAAAATATATTATAAATAGTTATATTACCAATATATTTCAACCCAAACGCAACTCTCATGGAAACGTAGACAATATATGTGGATACTTATATACAGAGGTGTCGGTAAAGGTAACAGGGTCGCGAGTTCAATGTTTTTTTTCCCATCTCAAAAAATACATTCCTTTGTTTGTTGTTCAATGTGCCTAAGGAAGTTTTCACTTCAAAAATATTACAAGCCCATGACAAAACTTTCTAATTTTTTTTTTTATCAGGCAGCTCTTTGGGACAACTTAGAGCTTCTGCAAGAGTTGCTGGCGAGTGGTGCTGCTGTAGATGCTCGGGATGGTTCACAGCGCAGCGCTTTACATGCTGCAGCGCTAGCTGAACGAAGCGGCTGTCTGGCAGCGCTGTGTGCATCTGGCGCTGATCTCAACGCCTGCTCAGATAACGCGACTGGTGGGAAGGTACGTTAAAGTTATCCATATCGACAAAGGCAACTCCTGTATCAAAGATATACTTATATATTACTAAATACATACAAACTATAGAAATTACACCCAGACACAGAACAGATGATCACAATCACATCAACAGCCTTTAATAGTCCGCTGGCGGACATTGGCCTCTCCTTAGAAAGGAGGTTTTGGCCTACTATGAAAGAGATAAAACTCTATAAGTATTAGTAGGAAGGTGTGGTGATGAATTAAGAATACAGAGTGTCACAACACCAATTAATTCCGTGGGTGTCGTAAGAGCCGACGAAGGCAGCAAACTACGCAGGACAACAGCACTGCAAAGAGAAGGAAAACTTGAAACAACCCGTCTGGCCAGCGTGGTATAGTAGGCCAAAACGTCCTTTCTAAAGAGAGGCCTATGTCCAGCAGTGGACTATTAAAGGCTGTTATGATCTAAGAATATTTCTTGTATCCTACTAGACGGCTCTCCACATAGCAGCGGAGCGCGGCCACGTGGAGAATGTGAAGACACTGCTAGCGGCGGGGGCCTCGCTGAATGTTCTCGACAGCAGCGGGAACACGGCTCTGGCGTTAGCTGAACGAAACAGTCATAGGCACGCAGCTCACGCCCTTCGGGAGGCTAGAGGTGAGTCCATGTCTATATAAATAAAAATGAAACTTCAAATGTGCAACCGCAAAACTTGAGAACGGCTGGACCAATTCGGCTAAATTTTTTTGACCCCAGATCACACAATGTCCTTAAACCGACAATTAACACTATGCTAAGGTGGTTTTATTGTTGTTTTTACGTGTTCTCGAAGCTGAATCCCAAGGTTATTATCTCACAATAGATGTTATTGTAAGAACCAATTGAATATGGTGTTATGGCTGAATTCGTCATCAAATAGATAATAAACGCCGAATCATACAATCGTCACACGACTGGTAGGGCGTCAGCAGGTTTTAATTACGTGATGTTCTGAATACTGATTATTAGCGTGTTTTTTATGGTGCACTGACGGTAAGTGACTACCTCCGCTTATAAAGACCTGCAGCTCAAGTGCTTCGAGCCCCTAGAATCAGACGAGTTTGAGTTCTGGTAACCTGATTCACTCGCTGAAAAGCCACGAATCAATTGCTTCTCAGCGGTTTTTTGTGACACTTCATCAACCATCAACAGCCTATACTAGTCCACTGCTGGACATAGGCCTCTCCTTAGAAAGGAGGTTTTGGCCTACTATACCACGCTGGCCAGACGGGTTGGTATAGGGTTTGTTTCCAGTTTTCCTTCTCTTTGCAGTGCTGTTGTCCTGCTTAGTTTGCTCCCTTAGTCCGCTCTTACGACACCCACGGGATGAATTGGGGTGGTGACAATTTGTATTCTTAATCCGTCACCACACGGACACTTAGTTTAGTTTTTTTTAAAAGACAACTCCCGCATTAGGAATATATCCTGTGTCGCGGGGGACTTTACAAACATACATGAAACGTACACAAAGAACATACATACTCAGAACAACAATTTGTGGATCACACAAAGTGTCGTCCCATGTGGGGTTTGAACCTCGGACGGAAAACCCACAACACTCGGCGTAGTAGGAAGCGGCGTGGCGACCGCTAAGTCACTACGTCATCCGTGCAATCAAACACACTGTAGTATTGCTCCGGTCGAGCCAGCCAATTTGTATGGAAGCCTGGCTCTCCCACTACTCATCATTCCGCCAATAATCTTTTCAGCACTCAGAGAGTCTCGCATGACTGATCGCGCCTTTAAACCCTAGATACCTTTTGGACTTTAGATAAAAATGACGTGGGAATTTTTTATTTTAAACGGTGTATGTTTAAAAAGCCATTCTGTACAGTTTTAACAAAACAGGTTAGTTGCTAAGTCATCAGTTCAAAGTTATAAAGGTCACTTTACACATACCAAGTGGTGATTTAAAGTAAACAACATAAGAAAAAAACCCAACAAAAAGGCGATTTAAAAGTAATGTACCAATTAAAAGTCATGATATACCTGTTTAAAATCCTCATGATGAGCTATTTAATTTGATACCCATATTGCAGTATACAGTAGGCCAAAACCCTCCTTTCTAAGGAGAGGCCTATGTCCGCCAGTGGACCATTAAAGGCTGTTGATGATGATGATGTTGATGATTGCAGTATTAAAAAAAGAAATTGTTTTTGCTTTAAACTAAAGCGTCTCAGAGTCGTCATGTTGGTTTTTTTTTGCGTCACCTATCTAAGAACACTTGGGTTACCAAGACGAATCTAACGATATGATAATTAAAAAAATCTGTGCAGCGGTTTAGAAGATATGATGTAATAAAGAATATAACATGCATACAAGATACGCGCGAAAAACATTCCGTTCCGTTCCTTGGCAGTCAAGTAAAAAATAATCGTCTGTCTGTTCGTAAGTGGTTGTTATTACTGGAAAAGATTCTGATTTAAATTAAATCAGAATTTATGTTATTTACTTAATAATATAAATCACAGTGGGAAAGGTAGTCTTCGGCACAAATGGGCCGACTTGACCAGAATGATAGTAGTTTATTCGTTACTTTTCATCGAGCCAATAAGGCTGCCGTGCTCAACCTTTATTCTGGGGGGAAGGACATATAAGGACAATAAAGGTGATCCTTCTGACTTCTGAGTTGCAGGTTTTGATGAACGTTCGTCGTTTTTTTTAAGTTAGAAACGCAAAATCAGTGTGTGGCACAATAGCTAGTGTGTTTATGAATGACGGAGTTCTGAGCTAACAAACATGAAAAAAAATACATTCGAATTCAAAACCTGTTCCATTTTTTGAAGTCGGTTAAAAATTGCCCGATTAGTATTGAACATTTGATGTGACACTATCAAGCCGGGCGGTTTTAACCACCCAATGACCTTGACTTGGACGATCTGTGTTTACACGACACGATTTGATTGGGAGTCTTGTCAAATTGTACGTGAAATTGTGTCGTCCGGAAGCCGGTTTAGACAGGTCGGATGATGTGTTGGTCTTTTACAGAGGCGTGTTTATAACCAATTTTATAGGTCTTTTTTAATCTAATACCTTTAAACGAGCAATTCTTGTATAAATGTATATATATAATCTAAATCTCGGAAACGGCTCCAACGATTTTCATGAAATTTAGCATGCAGTTGGTTTAAGGGGCAATTAATCGATCTAGCTAGGTTTCAATTTTAGAAAACTTATCCGGTCATCCAGGTACTTATCTTTATAGCAACAATAATCTATACTAATATTATAAAGCTGAAGAGTTGTTTGTTTGTTTGTTTGTTTGAACGCGCTAATCTCAGGAACTACTGGTCCGATTTGAAAAATTCTTTCAGTGTTAGATAACCCATTTATCGAGGAAGGCTATAGGCTATATATCATCACGCTAAGACCAATAGGAGCGGAGCACCAATGAAGAATGTTTCAAAAACGGAGAAAATTTATTACTGTTGAGAGACGCAGACGAAGTTGCGCGGGTCAGCTAGTAAATAATATTTTCGGACATCTGACACACAACGCCATTTAGTTTCAAACTAAGCAGTCATAAATACCCAAACTCCGAAACAAATATTTGCAGATTATACAAACATTCCACCCGGGAATCGAACCCGAGATCTCAAGTCAGCAGTCGCATACACTACCACTGCATCACCGAGTCAGTCATATACTAAATAATAATATATTGACACATCTGACACATAACCGTCTGACCCAAACTAGGCAAAGCCAGACTGTAACCAGACTGTCCATAAACGTTCATATATATTACTAAATGTTTATATAAAAAAAAAAACAGTGGCATCCGGGAGTGCCGACAGAAGTGAAAACTTGAAAATTTGAAATTTTTTGATTATAACAGGTTTTTCTTTTGTTTTTTTTTTCGATTCGAAATGTTCCGCAATGAATATATATCTATGTTACACGTATATACACAATATTTGTTTATCTATACATTTATTTTGGAAATAGTAATAGTCGGTAGGTGCAAGATCTGGTGAGTACCAAGCAACCAGCTTTGGTCAATCGGTCGTCCCCACTGCTCCTTCACGACAACGCGCGACCCCATACTGCGCAACAGACAGTCTCAAAGCTGCAAGAGCTGGGGTTGGAAGCTCTCCTTCATCCGCTATACTCACCAGACCTTGCACCTACCGACTATTACTTTTTCCAAAATTTAGACAACTTTTTAGTGGGTAAAAAATTCTATTCCCGAGAGGCAGTACAAAATGACTTTGAAGAGTTTGTTGCCTCCCGTCCAACTGATTTTTACAAGAAGGGCATCAATAAACTGCCAATGCGTTGGCAAAGATGCGTCGATTGCATGGGTGATTACTTCGAATAACATAAATAAAAAAGTTTGAAAAAATAAGTACTTTCACTTATTGCACACAAAACGGCAATTTCATAGGTAAAGACCTAATATATCACTTTATTGTACACCAGATATAAATGTACATAATTACCTTAAACTAGTTCAGTACAAGTGGCGGCCTTATCGCCCAGAGGCAATCTCTTACAGGCAACCGTGGTATGGAGAGAAAACATGAAGAGGAGGAGGTATTGGGTAGTTGCTGGTGTGTTAGGAAAGAAGAATAAGAAGAAGAAATCAAAGTAGTAGATACATAACTATAAAAAGTTATATTTACACATAATATCTATTTGTTGGCCTTAGGTGAATATATAACATACTAGAGGGAATATATGGTGTTAGATACATGTAATTAAATACGAAATGCAATGTTAAAATAATAGGTTTTTTCATGCTCACACGGTTATTTGCACGATACCAATGCCTAAAAACACGTTTAAATATTTTTTGAATGTCTGTTTGTTCCGTTTAATCTTCAAAACGGCTGGACCGATTTTAATAATATTTTACTACCCTTGCTGTCTATAAAGGTAGAATTTAAGTTATGTTTCTCTCAGAAAAAACCTAAAAAATTTTGCCCGGTCCGGGAATCGAACCCACAAAGGCAGCTTTTCAAATTCCACGCTAACGAAGTCTAGGTAGTATACCATAAAAACAATGGACGCGAATTGTATATCAGTAAGCCAATTCGATTGGGAATGAAATTGTGTCGCGTGTAAACAGTTTAAGAGACGGTCACCTACATATCCACACACGTAAACCAATTCATATCAAAACAGTTTATCTAAAGACGGCGTCGCGCGCAGCTGTCTCCAGTCCAAGACCATTTCGTTTCTAAGTTATTTATTTATAGATAATGTTGTGTAAAAAGCTTTTTTGACATCGTAATGGTGCAAAATATAGTGTTGTTATGTGTGTTAAGTGTTGTTCTATTGATGTAACGTTTTGTGTAACAAATAGTGGTATATTAACGAGTTTTTAAAGGTTATAACTTTAGTATGGGGTTAAAAATTGTGTCTAACAGGTTATTGCCAAAATTCTGCATAAAATGAGTGAATAATCACGCTTGTAACTTCAAAAGGGCATTCAGAGATGTATGATTTATTTACTTTTTGCTAGGAATTGCTTTCGGGATAAAAGCAAGATTATTCAGATATGGATTAGAGAAGGGATGTAGAGAAACGTATAAACCACTTGATTGTTTTGTGGCCGTTGTGCTTCTCTGTTTAAAAGAGTGTATGTCTATTTTACTTCATTGTGTCTCTTGAGGGAAGTAGATTTACTGTATTT